ATGAAGATAACACTGGTACAATTAGTATAGCTAATTATGGCAATTTTACAAAAAATTCTAAGCATGTTGAAATTCATTATCATTATGTAAATGATTATGTTAAAGCAAATGTTATAAATGTGGTTTAAAGTAGATTCTGATGATAATATTGCAGATATTTTTACGAAGTCCTTGGGCCAAGATAAATTTGAAAAATTTCGAAGTATGTTAAATTTGAATTAATGTAAATACAATGTAAATGTAAGGAGGCGTGTTGAGAATGTAATACATTTATATTGTATACACAGATATATTGGTGTAAGAGTAAGCGGAACGCACCCATAGTGTCATGGGTTGACATGACAGACAATAATAGTAATGTAAATGAGTATCATGTAGTTGTAGGTGGTAGTAAGAAGTATGGTGGCTTAAGTTAGGTTAGTTAATTAGTATGTATGTTATAGGAAATAAAGCCTTTTATAATAGTAGTAAAGTACGACTATTTATTTTCCAAATCCACACCTTAACAGTTTTTTCCATCTTTCTAGTCATATTCGTATGAAAATTCTTTGATGATGTTTTGAATGTCGGAATGAGGAATTTCTAGGAGCTCTTTATCTGGTCTATTCGTATAGCAGGCTTCTTTAGCTTCCCGATCAGCTTTTTCATTACCTATTATGCCTACATGAGATGGAATCCAAACAAATTCTACCCTTTTATTCTTACTGTAATGTTGTTCTTGATCAATTTTAATTTGGCATAGTATTGGGTGGTTTGGATAAACCCTTAATATGGTTGTAGGGCTTTAGATATGGCATACAATTCGGCGGAATATATAGAATACTCCTTAGGTAGCTGGAACTGATGTTTAATTGTTTCGTCAACGAAAGCTGCGCCTATCGGTTCCATTTCAGAAGTTTTTGACGCATCTGTATATATTTGGTAATAACTTTTGTACTTGTCTTAAATCGATTGAAACCGTTGTACAATTATATGTGATGAAGTATCAGAGTTAGAATACAGTAGATTTGTATTACATTTGGGGAGTTTTATGGTCCAAGGATGAGGGTAGTTTTATTTCATTGGAAATAACTTTCGGAAAATTGAAACCTGTGATTCTTTTACTAAATAATGCTAAAAGAAAGGGTATTTGTTCAAAAATTAAATGAAATTGTCAGAAAATGTGTAGGAGTAAGCAGGGTTATTAGAGTTTGCTCCAATTTTAGCTGCATATTGTAGGCTTAGTCTGTGTCTTCTAATTGAAAGAGGTGGTTCATCAGCTTATACATACAGACTTTCTACTCGACTGGTCCTGTAGACTCCAAGTGCAAGCCTTAATGAGGTATTTTGTATGATGTCCAATTGCTTTAATACACTATCTTTAGCTGGACTGTAGACTATTGTTCCATAATCTAGCTTGCTACGAATCTGTGTTTTATATATATTTAGTAATTGTGTGGTATCAGCTCCCCAATTATGATTGTTAATACTTTGAGAATGTTCATATTGTGCATGCAGATTTTTAAGTTGTTGTGTGGTTTTCCAAGTGAGTTTTGTATCTAATATCATTCCCAAAAATCGATGTTCTTCTACCTACTGCAAATTTTGATTATGTAGTGTTAATTTTGGCCAACTTGTTTGTTTGTTTCTTGAAAAAACATATTGCTTTTGTTTTGTTTGTAGAAAAATGAAGACCTGTTCTCTCTGACTACTTTTCCAAAGATTTGATGGACTCTTGCAGAATAGTTGCAGCTATCCGGCTATTTTTATTGCTTACATAAAGAACAGGGTCATCTGCTTGGACAGGAGTATTAATGTTATCAACAACTTCATTCATTGCAAACAAGAAAAGTGTTACACTAATTGTTGATCCTTGGGGAGTTCCGTTATCTTAGGTATACGAACTTGAAAAATGATTAGTAAGTTAAACTCTAAAATTTCTTCATAAACAAATTTTTTGATAAAAGCTAGAAGATTTTCGTCCACACCCCTTTGTTTTAATCTTTTTAGGAGATTATGCTTTCACACAGTATCGTAGGCTTTTACAATATCAAAGAAGACTGCCAGTACTTGACGATTCATGTCTATTTTCACTATCGACCAAAGACCAAAAGACTATAGTATCTTCCATTTCCAGAGTTCTTGTTACTGTCCATCTTATTTTCCATCTGTTCCATCTTTCAGCTTTGACCATAAATTTTCAATTGGATTCAGATCGGGACTATTTCCAGGCCAAGGAAGGAAAGTAACGTCATAGTTTCTCAGCAAAGAGTAATTGCTATGGCCCTCTTTGTCAATGACTGGTCACCAGGAAACCAGTCAACACGTTTTGGGTTTCTTGGTGTCATTTTCATATTCCTCTTCGACAACTAAACATTATCACCTTAGTAACAACTACCTAAGGTCATTAAAACACACTGAAAGTCGCACGAAACTGTCTAAATGCTTCCAATTGGGTAGTTGACTGCTGACACAATACAGTATTGCCAATGCTACCATTCTATTTGTAAACGTGCAAACTCCAGACTGTATTCTTATTCGGAGGTGTTTTTCGGGGGTTTCAATGCAATTATTTTGCAAACTTTACACTTTGTACGTAAGACCCATACTTGAATACTCTGGACCAACGTGGTATCCCGATCTGGTTCGAGACAAGAATCCGTTGGAAAACGTTCAAAGAAAAAGCCACTCGAATTTCTTTGGGACCGAGAAGACCGTCTTATGCAGAAAGACTTAGTATGGCTAACCTAACTACGTTTGAACTTCGCCCACAACGTGGAGACTTAATTACAACATTCAAAATACTAAAATTCAATTTTGGAAACCTCGATGAAATATTTATCATAAACTCAAGATGAACGCCTCAGTGGTCATCGAATATAAACTAAAGAAAGAAAATTTTTCTATAAGACAAAGACAGAACTTTCTTCCAAAGAGAGTTTTTGAGTGCTGGAATAACCTCAACGACAACATTGTCTCCGCTTCCTCTACCAACTCGTTCAAAAACAGACTCGACAGTTTTATATTATAGTTAAAATATTGTTTTTCTTTTAAACCAAAAATTGTAATTTTATTTCTTTTAGTTGTAATTTTTGCTATTTACTAGTAGGTGATTAATGAAATTTCTTTGTTTTTGGGCATAATAGGGACTTAGTTCCTCTGCCCTCGCTTATATTATAATAATAATAATAATAATTCACAAATCTCAAGTTTTCGGCGTTACGCTTGAATCTGTTTCCATATTTTAATAAATTAATTATGTTAATATAGAGGGTGAGAATACATAAAATATTAAGCAGAAATATAAAACAATAACACAAAAGTGTAATTTTACTGATAAACTATATAAATCACGACCATGAAACGAGAATTGATGGAAAAAACGATAATTTTTGTAAAGTTTCCAGAATTTTGGCCACTAGTGTATAGTGGTATTTTTATATTATATATTCAGGGATTCTACACTGTTTAGTGCCTTCCCTCGCTCAACCGTTTCCATCTCTCTCTCTCTCTCTCTCTCTCTCTCTCTCATCTCTCTCTCTCTCTCTCTTCTCTCTCTCTCTCTCTCTCTCTCTCTCTCTCTCTCTCTCTCTCTCTTTTCCTCTCTCCTCTTTCCTCTCTCTCTCTCTCTACTCCGTCTCCTCCATCTTCTTCGTCTCTTTCTCTCTTCTTATTATTTCTTATATTTTTGCCCTATCTATGTTTATATCTGTTTCTATTATTTCTTCAGCCCTATTTCTAATACTTCACTTATGTTTATAATCTGTGTTTTTGTCTTCATATTTAGGTGTCTATCCTACCATACTGATATTAAGTTGTCGTATTGCTATTCTAGTTTGTCCCAATCTTTCGTAGTTTCTTCCTCTGTTGTTCCCTTTTTGTGATTATAAACCCCAAGTATTTGAATTTATCCCTTCCTTTGATTGTTAATTGATCGTCAATCTGTAAATCTTCTATGTCTTCTTCACTTGTTGAAAGGTACTCTGTTTTCGCGATGTTAATATCTAGGCCAGCCTTGGTATATTCTTCTTGTAGTTTCTTTATCATGTAGCTGAGGTCGTCTTGGTATTGTTCAATCACTACTTGATCGTCTCCAAAGCTTAACGTATTATTTAACGTTCTGTACTGGTACTCCCATGCCTTCGCATTTTCTTTGCCATGTGGTTAAGTATATTTTAAATAGAGTTGGAGATGTGGAACAAACCTGCAGGAGTCCTTTTGTTGAAGTGAAGTCTCCTATGAGTCTTGTTCCCACTTTAATGGACACTTTATTTTCTTTATACAGAGCTTTTGGAGCTTCTATGAGTTCTCTCTGTATTTCTAATCTGTACATTGCCTCCCATAGTTTTGACCTTGGTACAGAGTCATACACCTTTCTCAGGGTCACAAATGCCAAATGTATATCTCTATTTTTTGATTTTTTCTTTTCCAACAGTTGTTCCAGTGTGTATATGTGGTCTATACATGATCTTTCTGCCGTGAAGCCTACCTGATCCTCCCCAATTTTGCCTTTTATTGCTTGCTCTATCTTTTCTCGCAGTATCTTCAAATATAATCTTCCTTTTGATGATATTACGCTTATTCTTCTGTAGTTTTCGCATCGTTTTCTATCTTCTTTCTTAAATATATATGTCATATATGCCTCCGTCCATTCCTTTGGGAGCTGTTCTTCATTTATGGCTTTCTGAAATATCCATTTTATCATCCGGTGTAATTTTTTTGAGCCATATTTTATAAGCTCAGGTGAGATGCCTCCAGGTCCCGGTGCTTTCTTATTTTTGATTGCTTTTATGGCCATTCTCATTTCCCTATCTGTTATTTCTATTTCTTATTGTGGGGATCTGCTTCGTCTTCGCCTGTTTTCTTTTCCAATGAATTGTGGTCTTTGTTCTGTTAACAGTTCCTAGTGGCATTCTTATGTTTAGTTTATGCAAGTCGTTTTGAATCCTCTTTCTAATAAGTTTATTGTTAAATTATTCCGCTTTCCATTATTTTATCGTTAGGAAAACTAAATAAAAACATTACCTTATCAAAATTTTATTGATTACTTACAGTAAAATAATCTAAATTGTATTAGGTATTAATATTATCTCGCAACACGCCCTAAAATTAATAAAATATACAAAAATATGTTAATAATATCGAGATATAGGTTAAGTGCAGCAAAAATGTACTCTTCAGGAGAAAGACTTATCTTTCCAGCCCCTCCGATTATCAGTTGAGTATCAATGACCAAGTATATTGAAAAAAAGAGAACAATTATTGCACCAAATAGCAACTGAAATTTGTTATTTTTATAGAAGATGGCAGTGATTCCGAAACTGAGAAGGATCATAGATAGAACGACGAGAATTCCAGACCAAACAGTAAAATCTACTCTAGATTGAAATGCAAACACAGTCAGTCCCAGACAAATGACAACGGTTGCCCCAGCAGCTATTGCGACTACATCGGCGTCATAATAAGAAGAAATTGTACCCAAGAGCAAACTTTCAGCAAATGTAAATATAAATAAAAATATAAGATTGGCCGGTGATCGTCTCCTCAGCTGTCCACAACATGACAAAGCAATGATCGTAACTAGAATAATAACAAAAGAGATCAGTATAATTAAGGGATTCTTTTGAACGAACAGTTTGGTCGGTTCGTGGAATATGAACCAGCTGATAACTCCTGTTGTTACTGCTACTTGGAGTGAAAGTATAGCATAAACCTTTCGGATGAATCCTCTTCTTATTGAGGCATCGTTGAAATCGAAACCTTTTACTATCTGTGCTTCAATGTCGTTGCAGCTATCTAAAAAACAATCATTTGTTAGTAAATTTATGTAACATAGAACAGCGAAGAAGAATTAGTTTGTATAGAAACGATATGCAGATAGAGTAAGATAGTATGATTTATGATAACACTTAAATACAATAATTCATTATTAGATGTGTATGATACCGTTGACAATTATCTGTTTCAAAGCGAGGGTTGATATAAAATTTGCTTCCTTAAGTCTATCCAGAATTTCCGATATTCTGGGTAACGGATATGCGTCCTTATCTGATAGTTCGTTGACTTTTCTAAAGTCAATGCAAAACCTGTACGAGTTATCCTTTTTCCTAACTAGTACAATCGGTGAACTCCAACCACTTGTGGAGGGTTCGATGATTCCTTCTTTTAACATCTTGTCCACTTCTTAGTTGATGATCTGCAGCATTTCGGGATTGTGCCGCCTATAAGGCTGTTTGACTGGATCGCACTTTTTCTTCAATTTTATTTTGTGTTTTATTAAGTTGGTGGGTCCTGTTATGTTCTCAAACTCCCTTAGTTCTTTTCTTAGGAACCTTTCTAACTCCGTATTTTTAGTGGAGTCTTTTTAAAGTATTACATGTCTCTTCTTGATGTTGTACGTATTGTTTGGTCGTATGTTTATCGAATTTAAGTTCGATAGAATGGTTCCTGAGGAATTCCACTCCTAGTAAGGCATCTTCCGTCAACCCTGGCATTACTATGAATGTTTGTCGGGTTTGTAACTTATCGATCTCGCATTCAATTGTCAACTTCTGGTTAAGCTCCATTGACGCTCCATTTGCTAGTATTGTTCTCTTTGATGACTTTAATTGGTTTGCTGGTTCCTAGAGTAATATTGTACCTCTAGGAGCACCGAATCTTAGTTTGTGCAGCAATGTGGTTGTCCAATTACTAGATTCGATACCAAAACATAACATTACAAATTGTTTTTTGACAATTGGTTCACCAGCTCTTATGATATATCTGACCAAAGAGGGCATTTTACCTTTGGGAGCAGTAAGACTTAATCGTGGTGCTAGAGTTGTGATGCCAGCTGAGAAAGAAGTGAAGAAGCGCGGCAGAGGTCATATTGTAGAGAAAATAGCCAATATAGACAATGTGGATGTCAGTGTAGTGTCCTGGTTTGATAATAAAATCGTTACTACAATATCAACATATGCTGGAAGTGAAGTAAAGGGAGAAAAAAAAGATTTTTCAAACAAGAAAGTATACAGGGTGAGTCATGAGGAACTTTACATACTTCTACCATATGTAGAGTCCCTCAGGGAGCATATCATGTGGCCACTAAAAAATGTCAACTCCTCTTCTTTATTAATTAACAGGGTGATTTGTGTAATTGACCATTTATTTAATTTTACTGTAGTGTTTATACGGCTCATTTGATTTTTTTAATTTTTGCATGATACAGTACACTACTATCAAGCATTCGACTGGTATTAGCTAAACTAAAAAATTCCAGGACTGGCTTTGGAAAAATTAATTTAGGGATCCGTATTAAATATTACACCCTGTATATATATTTTTTTAAAATGCAATAAGTGATTTTCAAACTACATAAATAGCCAATGAAAACGACATATGCGACAATGTTGTCGCACTTTTATTAAATTTTTAGTGAACGATCAAATCTTACCAAAAATAGAACAACCATAATGAAGTATCAAATTATAAGGTATTAATTTAAACAAATGTTATAAATTTCAAACATTTTAATTAAAATGAGTTCCTACAACATAATCTAATACGTAGAAAATTAACATCTTTACTGTCACTTTGTATTATCTCTACGATAGAATCAATTGTTTTTCAATTTTAAATTTTTACTCATAGATCGTATTGGGGCATTATTTTCGATAAATAATAAATTAAATTGATTAAAAAGTCAAACCTCTTGTATGTGTTAGTTTTTGTTGATTGTAAATGATTAAAATTTTATGTCAAATAATAATACATTGCATCAACTGTACTAAATAAAAATAAATCTAAAAAAGTTTAAAATGAAGGTTGGCGTTGACCGTTTGACGTTTCTTGATATTTTATACCCATTGTCATTATGCATTATCAATTGTTATTTATGTGTACAAGAATACATATTTCTTCTGTCATATCTACGTTAAGTACATTGTGTTAGTTTTGGTAGAGCTTTTGTTACTTTCGTTCAAAATGCCACATCAGTTTTCGACCACAGAATACGCAGACATAATATTTGTTTATGGATTCTGTAATGGGAATGGTAGGGCTGCTAGTAGAGAATATCGCAGGAGATTTCCTAATCGTCGAACTCCCAGTCATCCAACATTTGGGTCAGTTTTTAATTATTTGCGAGAAAATGGCACTTTTCCTAGTGGAACAACAGAGCGACATGTAGATGAAGCGCAGGAAGATGACATTATGGACGCCGTTACTATGAACCCTACAATAAGCACTAGACAAGTAAGTCGAGAACTCAATGTTACTCAATCAAAAGTAAGTAGAGTCTTACAAAAAAATAATCTATACCCATATCACATTCAAATGGTTCAGCGACTACATGCTGGAGATGAGATCGATAGGTTGGAATTTTGTAGATGGATTAACAATAATCGACCAACGCTATACAGGACACTATTTACAGATGAAGCCCAATTTACCAGAGACGGGATAAATAATTCACGAAATTCACATGTGTGGGCAGAAGAAAATCCCCATGCTATTCGAGAACGTCGTTCTCAGTTAAGGTTTTCGGTTAACGTGTGGATTGGTGTCATAAATAACCAATTAGTAGGTCCTCACTTTTTTGATGGTCCTTTAACAGGGCAGGTCTATTTGAACTTTCTACAAAATATTTTGCCGAATTTGCTTGCCAACGCGAACGTTGCTATCCGAGGGATGTATTTTCAGCATGATGGGGCACCCCCACACTTTTTACTGGCAGTGAGACAACATCTCAATAATGTTTATGGCAACAGGTGGATAGGACGTGCAGGTCCTATTTCGTGGCCTTCAAGATCCCCTGATTTCAATCCCGTTGATTACCATATTTGGGGACGATTGAAGCAACTAGTTTACGCAGTGAATATTAATAACCGACAACAATTAATTGATAGAATTATACATTGTTGTAATACTATTAGAAACGATCCCCAGAGTATCCGTAATTCAATACGTCAATTAACAATTCGGCAACAAAAATGTGTACAGGCTGCAGGGTTCCATTTCGAAAATCTATTTTGAATTATTTTTATTTTGTTACCATTATTGTATCTTTTCCAGTTCTAATTTATGGGTTTATCATAACTATGTACATATTTTTAGTTTTTTTTTTTAAATTGTTCTTCGTTATTGTTAGTAGTTACTGTTTTTTGTTGTGCAGTGACTCAGTTTATCATTTCAATTAAAATGTTTGAAATTTATAACATTTGTTTAAATTAATTACCTTATAATTTGATACTTCATTATGGTTGTTCTATTTTTGGTAAGATTTGATCGTTCACTAAAAATTTAATAAAAGTGCGCCAACATTGTCGCATATGTCGTTTTTATTGGCTATTTATGTAGTTTGAAAATCACTTATTGCATTTTAAAAAAATATATATACAGGGTGTAATATTTAATACGAATCCCTAAATTAATTTTTCCAAAGCCAGTCCTGGAATTTTTTAGTTTAGCTAATACCAGTCGATTGCTTGATAGTAGTGTACTGTATCATGCAAAAATTTAAAAAATCAAATTAGCCGTATAAACACTACAGTAAAATGAAATAAATGGTCAATTACACAAATCACCCTGTTAATTAATAAAGAAGAGGAGTTGACATTTTTTAGTGGCCACATGATATGCTCCCTGAGGGACTCTACATATGGTAGAAGTATGTAAAGTTCCTCATGACTCACCCTGTACATAAAATGATACCTTGTCCTAACAGTGTCTTAATCTACAACAACTACATGGGAGGTGTAGATCTCCTTGATTCCTTGTTAGGATTTTATCGTATAAGGATCAGGTCGAAGAAATATTATTTACGAATATTTTTTCATTCTATTAACATGATAGCCGCGAAATGTTGGTTATTAGCCAAAAGATCGAAGAAATTTGATTTACCCCTTTTGGATACCGATAGCCGATGCTCTATGCAAAGCCGGAAAACCAATTAAACAGAACAGAGTATGTCAAGTCAAGTAGTAGCATTCAGCAGATGTTCGAGAACAAACAAAAAAGGGACTCACTAAAGAAATACCCCAAGAAGACATCTGTAAAGATAGGCTTGATCATTTTCCTTTTGGGATGAGAGCACTAGGTCAAGATGCAAAATTTCCAGGCTGTACATGGAAAACATATTAGTGTACACAAAATGCACAGTACCGTTGTGTATTAATAAAGAAAGAAACTTTTGTAGTTTCATACTGTACTGATTTTACTATTACATTGTTGCATGATGTTCCATATTTGGCACGAAAAATTTTTTTTGTCAATAAAGTTTTCCTCATAGCTAAATTTTTTTTCAATATTTTTGCGTAAAAATAGAATTAAAATTCTTAACTGAGAATTTATTTTTGACAAAAAAACAAAAATTCATGCGGTAAAGGGTTAAAACTCGACACTAAACTTAAAAAGGGCATTCTTAGAAAGGAAAGAAACATTGTTATCATTGCGATTATGGTTAAAAATTAGGTCAAATTAATAAATCAAGTAGTAAGTAAACAAATTAATATAAGTACTTTTCTGGTAAAATCCCAATACTACTTGATTCAACACATTTAGATGTATGTATTTATCTACTTACCCTCCTTGGTCGCCATTTTTACACTTTAAAAAACCCTTTATCAATTATTAGTCTAAAATCACGCAAAATATTTGAACAAACTCAAAAAAATCAATCGTAGTGAGATATATTTGCAAATTTCTCTTGAAATAAATGAATCTAAGTTGTGGGGAATACAATGTATAGATAAGATATGCTACGAACTATGTGCTTGATAACATAACTTATCGTTTTGGTTAAAGATTTATTCACATCCGGTAAATCAACGGGAAAAAAAAAGTTATTTTAGGTAAATTTCTATGGTTATACATATACGAGGGTAAGAAAATTCAGTTGTAAGGTGAGGGTAAGAAAAGATTTTTTTTTTAATTTTTTTTTTTTTTATTTAAACACAAAACCACATCAACCGCGCAGGGTTATAGTGGCTGTAACAAATACATGAAATATTACATTAAATACAATTGAATGATACATTAAGTACAATTGAATATTACATTAAATACAATTGAATAAATTGATGTCTTTTAAATAGCTTAACACTGTTGAAATTTTTTTGGTGAGAACTGTCTTGAGATCATCATCTGTGAATCCATGGGATCTTCTTTTTTCCATGAATTGAGGACAATCAAGCAAGATATGTTTGACAGTCAGTGGGTTAGAGCAGCTGCAGCAGATAGGTAGTGGTTCTTTTGTTATTAAGTATTTGTGTGTTAAGGCAGTATGACCAATTCTTAGACGATTAATAATGACTTGGTTTCTTCTGTTTAAAGGAGTCTCTAGAACATCAGTTATTTTTGGGCAAATTACATTTAGTTTAGTACCTAATTTTTCCCAATACTTTTGCCAAGTATTAATACAATGGATTTTAACCAGGTTTTTTAGATCGGTGTACGGATATATCCTCAATTGTGCAATATGGTTTGAGTTCATTCGACTTTTGTTAGCCAGTTGATCTGCTTTTTCATTTCCGTAGATACCTATATGTGATGGTACCCAAATAAAAGCCGCTTCCTTTCCTAATGATGAAAAATTTTTCTAGTACGTTTTTTATACTCTGTATAATAGGGTTGTTGGTATATATTTGTTTCAGTTTCAGTAATGCATTTAATGAGTCTGTTACGATAATGCACTTCATCGTTCTACTCTTTTCGAAGAAGATTAGGGCTTCCAAAATAGCTGTAGCTTCACCTGTTAGTATACTGCAGTTGGTTGGTATCGATATGCTATAAGAATTTTCTTTACAGTAGTAGGCAGCAGCGTGACCATTGGGAGTTTTAGAGGCATCGGTAAAGATTTGCAAATAATTAGGATAGTGGTCTAGAATTTCCATGAATAGAGATTTAATTACTGTGGAATTTGTAGTAGATTTGGGATACTTAGTAAGTGTTACATCAATAGTTAATGGGTGGCTTGTCCATGGGGATAGTTTGCGTTTATATGTAGTGTTGCATTGAAATGATTCCTATCAAAAGTTGTAAGGTTTATTCTTTCTATGAGGGGTGTAGAGTTTTTAGTCTTATTGTTAGGAGGAAGGCCAGGGTTGCAGATATGGAAAAATACAGGATGCTGTTTCTGGGATGATATCTTTGCAATGTAGTTCAAGGATAGTTGCTGTCGTCTTATATGTAAGGGAGGTTCTCCAGTTAGAACTTGCATGCTACTAACTGGACTAGTTTTAAAAGCTCCCAGTGCTAATCTCAAAGCTGTAGTTTGAATACTGTTTAGTTTTAAGAAAAGATTGGTTTTGAGCTATTTGTAATTTAGGATAATTTTCTTCTACACAATTTATTATTTATTTGGTTTTAAGCAGAAAAGCGTTCAAAAAAGTCCTAATTTTTGACATTATTGTGTTACTTGATTTTTTGCTGAAATTTCAGCAGTTACTGCTGATTGCCCTAACAATGATACAATAATATTTCAAGTTGTTTTCTTAAAAAAGTAAATTTAGAGTTTTCAGCTTTATGAAAATATCGGTTTTGAAAGTAAAACAAAAATGCAGAATAAAGTTTTAATTGTCATAGGTAGAGGGTACTTTTGAATAGAAAAAATTAAAATTTGTTTTTCTTCAAAATATTTAATAGAAACACCTATTTATTGTAAATTATAATGAAACTGGATCAAATTCGTAATAAAATGGCGCAAACCGCATGTTGATAGCTTTTGTCGAACTCGAGATATGAATAAAAACGCATAAACATAAGTAAGTATAGTATTGACTCACCCTTTATTATACCTTAAAATTAAATATGTGAAAGATCATACAAATATCTCGATCAATAAAACTTAATGTCCAATTAAATGTTTAAATTGTTTTCCATCGTTGTCCACACAAAGATTATGTAGACATAACAGCTGCTTCAATTTGAGCTGTTGATATACTATTTATTGCGTTTATAATGCGCTGTTTCATGTCGTCTCACGTGGTTGGTCGAGTTTGGTACACTAAGTCCTTCAATATTCCTCACAGATAAAAGTCCAGACATGTTAAGTCTGGAGATCTAGCTGGTCATGAAAATATACTTCCCCTTCCAATCCTTTTATTTGGATAACTTGCATACAAATAATCTCGAACTCGCCTGGAAAAGTAAGCAGGACACCCCTCATGTTGTAATATTATATATCATCTTGTTTGTAAGGAAATATCTTCCAATAAAACAAGCAACTGATTTTCCAGAAAATCCAAATATGTTTCGCCATTTAAAGTTCTATCAGAGAAATATGGACCTACGAACTTTCGATCAACTATACCACACCAAACATTAAGACTCCATCTACCTTGAACCTGTACCTCATGTATTGAGTGCGGATTTTCTTTAGCCCAATAATGCATATTATGCAGATTAACACCACCCGTCCTCGTCTGTCCACAAAATCTTTGACATAATATGCGGTTATTCTTCTAGAGGGCGTCCTCCAACAAGTTGGTAAGACGATATTAATTTAGTGAATAGGAATATGAATTGTTTAGCGAATAAATAAGACTTATACCCGAAGTTTAAATGGGTTTCTGCTAATTAGTTCCCTCATTACAAATTCATCATTTTTTTTTGGCGCATCTCAGAGACAAAGTAGTGAAACTTAGCAAGTTGTAGATCAAATAGACCTAAAACTCTTCATATATCATTAACTCATAAAAATTGTTTTTAATTTTCATCATTATAGTAAAGTCTTTAGAATTTAATATGGCAGGAAAATAAATACACTCTATCGCGATGTTTCTAAATGTATTTCACAAACAGATAATGATTCCGAGAATGCAATATTAGATATAGTTTTTGAGAAAAGGGTTCTAAATATAAGCTGATAAAGATTCTCCGAATACAATAACATAATTCTATGAACGAAAATTTTATGAAATAGAATTAATGCACTGCTATAAATATGTCACTTTTGTTAGAGCCATTGGTTCAGGTAACTAATGTCATAAGGATGTATGGAATATGTATGGTCTATCGCTTATCTTTCATGAACTTTTCAAGTTAAGCTGAGTTCAACTCAAGATATCCGAGGAATCTCTAGTTTAGTAAGTCTTTTTTTATATGCCGTGCTCTGTTCAGGAATAAAATCGATTTTCTAACAACTCTTAATAGACAATTATGAATCAGAAACAGACAGCGCAAGCAAAGAAGCAAAACAACCGCTGCTTGCCATACTTACAAAGATTTCTGTCATATTCAAGTGCAGTAAATTGGAATTAAATGATGTCTCACATCTTTTAGATGTCATAAAAACGTTAAGAGATAGAAACCGGTCTTCCAAAGGCCTCTACAATAAGTCAGGGTCGTCATTTATCAGTCTATGCTATCTTAAATCTTTCAAAGTTCCTAAAGATATTTTCCAAGATAGTTCTTAAAGACTGTTATGCATTCATCGAAAGGCTTCTACAATACTTCAGGTCAGTCAATAAGTATTCTAGCCTAGGCTACCCGAGATCCTAGAAATTTTCCAGAATAATTTTAAGGCCGTCCCGAATTCTTTTAGTAGCCACTGCAATATTCGAGGCTATTCTGGAATTTTCCAGAGATCTCTCTAACGTTGTAGACTTTCTTTCAGAGATTCTATAAATAATCCAGGATGGTCATCAGCATCAAAGGATGCTTTAAATTTCTTCAAAAGGTTTCTTCTTGCCCATTCCAGGGTATTCAATTGGCATAAAATTGACAGAGACCTTTCAAATCTTAAAGAAACATTCCAGGATAGCTCTAAAAATTATATGTTGTATTTAATTCTTTCAGGATTCTCCAATAATCCAGGAAATTCATTTGTCATTCTATGTTACTTCCAAAAAACATTTTAGGGTCGTTCTGAAACTCTCTAAGACTGCTCCGCATCGAGTTATATTGGGACACTATGTATCCAAAATATTTCAAATGTTCTTGAGACATTGTAGCATGGTCCTTAACCCATCAAGGCTGCTCTGGATTGTCCCAAAGCTATCTACAGCATTGCATAGTAGTCATTAAGCATTCTATGTCTTTCCTTTCATATTAAAAGGCTGTACTGAATCCTTTCCAAAGATCCTCAAGACAGAGAAATATACGCTAAATGGAATAGAGAAGTTAAAAAAGACGTGGATAAGGCGAAAAATATAAACTGGGAGGCTAAGTGTGATAAACTGGACAGATTTATGGGTGGAACAAAAGTGGCGCAAGCTTGGAAAACATTAAAACAGTTTAGGAAAAATGAGAAAAATGAAGACAACATTTCTCTCATAAAGTTAAATGAATGGGAAGAATATTATACGAAACTGCTGAAAGAGGATAGAGTAGAGTACAGATGGGAAAAGATAAGGGAATTAATAGACAACAGAGACGAAAGACAGGAAATCCCTATAATAACATTATCTGAATTGAAACCTTAAAAGAGGTTAAAAACGGAAAAGCCGCAGGGCCTGGAGACATTCCCATAGAGCTGGTTAAATATGGGCCGACTGCACTTTTAGAATTAATAGTAGACCTTTTCAATAAATGTATGTGTGGAGACCAGGAAATTCCTAAAGATTGGAATAAATCTTATATAAACTCCATATATAAGAGAGGGAATAAAAGAGACTGTTCCAATTATAGAGGTATTAGTGTGACGAGCTGTGTGGGCCGGTTGTACGGCAGAATATTAAAGAAGAGGGTTGAAAGACAGATACAAGATATTGAAGAAC